TCCATCTGGTGTAGTTTCTCCTTTTCTGACGGTTCACCACAAAATACCAGCTGAAATAACAAAACAAAGGAGAACCTTCAAACATGCCACAAGGTGATTAAATAACTACTCTTTATACAACGAAGAGTAATGAATTCTATAATTTTATTGACTGTCCTCAATCAAATCTGTTAGGCCACACAAATAATATGGGACCAATGCATATTAATTTTCACTCAAAAAGACAAAAATCCCCCCCCAAAAAAAGTTTAATATTGACCAAATTCTTTAATAGCCATACAAAGTGTACCTGTATGATATCAGAAAGCTTCTGGAGTCCACTAGTATTGAGAAATATTCCTGGCTCTGAGGAGAAAACATGCATCAAACAGGTCATTTGTTAATTAGTTGCACTGATCGGTATAATAAAACCAGCCAATGTTACAAATGATAAATGATGTGATAATGTGTCTAAGCCAAAATATGATCCTTACGTTGTGCCAGGTATCCAATGATGTGCTCCAGAGCTTCATAGACTGCTGTCTTGCTGCTGAAGGTCAGATTAGCTTTTTCGAACACCTCATAGATGAAGCTAAGACACAACATAGAGACATGCAGTGCTTATTAGGTTTATTATAACAGTTAAGATTCAGAATCATTCTCTCAGCAGCTTTAAGTGAGAACCCGCACTACGGTTAAGGTACTAACTACAGAGACATTCTATGACCACACTTATTTGTTCTACCATGCTGTCACCTACATTCCAGGTTTGGTAATGCCTTGATCACTTGGATCATAGGCATCAATGGCAGCTTCCAGATCCATAGTATCTCTGTTAAAGCAGAAAATAAGTTTTGAAAATAACTCTTGTCACAAACAACAGGACGACTGACTCCGCAATACTTAATAAATACTTACGTTTGATTTTGCAATGGTGGACAAAACCTAATTTGAAACCTAAACAAAAAAGAAAATATTAAAAGACGTGCAGCTGACAATCCTTTACTTGCTTTACAAAACACAAAAAATTATTACTATTAATAATTTAATAAGGCCAGGCTAAACTAAGGCTAATAAAGTTAGTGAAGACTTAGAAGGTAGAAGTAAATCCAAACTTATACAAGTATACAAGTAGCCCAAATGCCATGAAATTTATACATAACTATACTATATTCCATGGAAAACTCTTTTAGAAACATGTATATAACCTGAGAAATTGAGACAAGTAGGTTTCTTACCAGAAGCGGAGGTTTCTCCATGAAAGTTACATTCACAGAGTCTCTGTGGCTGATTTCTTTAGACTGCTCCACAAGCAGCCTGTCCACAGCATTAATGGCTGAGGCTACATCGTAGGGATGAGATCAAATGATGTTGATTCTTCACATGTCTTTCCTGCAAATAAAAGAAGTAAATTTCCCGGAGGGATTAATAAGTTTTATCTAATATAATATAATATAAACATTGCTACCCCAAATTGAAAGGTCTGCAAACGTTCTCTTCATGTTTGAAAATGGAATATGTATCAGCCTATAAATAATAGTGATCGCACCACATTGTGTTTTATTTATTACAAATTGTTTGTAAAGCTTAAGTAACTGGAAATTTAATACATTTCACTTCAACTATTATGGCATGATGATGACATTAGTACTTTAGTATGCCCAAGAGTACATTTCATACAGGAGTTTGAATTTATGTTTTTAGGTTCTTTAATTAATAAAAGAAAATATTTGTTCATGTTTAAATACTGTACACTGAGCATTTTGTGAAATTGTAGATCTACTGTAATCAATCACTTGTAATGCACAGTAATGACATGGGATTTATTAAAAAATGCATTTTTTTGTGAAGCTATGCTGTTCAATATCTGGCTTGCAAAAGATAGTTCATTAATGTGAATTTGTGCATGTACTTGTATTTCTCTACACTAAAACAAAAGGAAAATCTGGAAGCATTTGTTTTAATATGTGCTTAGGGTTTGAGCAGCCCAGCGGTCTTTATTTAGGCTCTATGTGGCATACAAGTTAAAATGAATTTGAAAGCCTTAGTAGTGGGTCACTTCTGGTCTTCGAAGCTTTAATTTAGTTTACTAGTGAATACATTTAACAAAGGAAAGATATACCATACCACATTGTGAGCCTCGTCAAAGATAACCACAGCTCCATTCAGGTCGATACTGAGTGCCTTACGGCTCTGTGGAATGGAAAGACGGAGAGAGCGAGAGAGTGGCAGTTGAATATTAGGATTCATGGAAATTGGAAATGACAGTGCCAATCATAACACTAAAGTCTCTTTTAATGCTCAATTATGGTCACATATATCATCCTGAGATGTAATGAGGATGGATGACTGAGCTCACCTTTGGATCTAGCAGGTAGTTGTATGGCATAAAAATGACATCTGCTTCTTGTTTCAGTGAACGAGAGAGGTAGTAAGGACAGACTCTGTGGAAAAATGTGCAAATCCGAAATCAAATACATGAACTTCAACAAAAACAGACCCATCCTGATAGCTGGGTCTAAGTGTAGCCAGGCCTATATAACATCTTACATCCTGCTACTGTGTGTTGGATAGTCTCCGGGGAGCCATTGCACACTCTGCAGTTTCGGTCCTGTGCGCTATGGTTGACTCCTGGCTTTATTGAAGTGGTGCTTAGGGCCTATTGTTGTGGTGCCACAATCAGAGCCTCTGTGCTGTCCTTTAAGCCAGCCTTTGCTAGTTGCCATGTCAATGGTGCGTGTGCTAGAGGGATTGTGCATGACAATTCCTTATCATGTATTTGAGTCACCCAAGCAGCTCATCTCGGGTGGCCCATCTTGCTAGTGTCTTCATGGATGCTGAGGGTTTCATCCTGAACTCACTAATCACCTTGCCTCTTTCTATTGGTTGGGGTGCTGGAGTTTGGGTGAAGATCTCTATAAACTGTGAGGACACCGTATGTCCTGATATCAGTAGCCTATATAAGGTGTCAGTGGCCATTTTATTATTTCGGCTATGGTACACCCAGGTACTTTTAGATTGTTGATTTGACCACTCTTATTTATTTTTGTTTTCGACCTCTGATGGATTTCTTTGGGTTTTTCAGCATTATGATGTTTCTCCTTCAATTGTATTGATATGACTTTGGTCCTTGTATTGAAAGTTTTAGTGAACTGATACAAAATACAAATTCAACACTTTGATCAACTCTAGATCTTTTTTCTGCTTAATTTGTCATGAAATGATGAAAGACCAGTCCTTACCTGGCCATGAAACTGTCTATCAGTCAGTTATCCAACTACTTTTAAACTGCTAAAAATAGAGGACGATGCATTAAAAATGGCTGCAATTCCTAAACGGTTAACACCAAATATCTGTTAAGCCCCATTCATTTTGCAAGTCACTTAACCCACTCCACCCACTATAATGAAATGCCTCTATTTTGTAACATATTTATTGGGTCACCTCACTGTTCCAATCAAGAGTTCAGCTTAACTTTAAGTTGTGACCCATCTATAGATTACCTACAGGGGTTTCACACTGGCTACAGTTTTAAAGGGTTTTGCTGGACAGCGCTAAATAGCATCTTATACTGAAGTAAAGAGGATACTACTAATCAAGTGACTGATTAATAAAATACTATTTGATTCATTAGCTACTATTAAGACAATACTTTGGTGTCACACAGAGACATACCCACCTGCCAATGCTGATTATTTCTTACCAAAGTAAGAAAGTGCAGAACAGAGACTTATTAGTGAAACAGAAATTTACAAAAAAAAAGAACACATCAATTACACACCTCTGCTTGTTGCCAAATTGGACCAAATCCTCCACATCAAGGATAGAACTAACAAAGTCTCTATCAGTGCTCTTTTCTAGAAGAAAAAAAGAAGATCAAGCTTAAGATTGAGTATTTATAAGATAAATTGCTATAAATCACTGATGGAATAGAATAGAATAGATTAAACCTTTATATTCCCAGAAATTAGAAATTTGGGATGGTTACACAGCTCTTATAGCAAGACAGATATAAACACAAGTAGTCCTTTATACACAAGAAACCAAATTCATATGTGCAGATAAAAATTTACAGAGAGATGTATAAAAATGACACGTGTCAAGTTTCCTGTTTTCTATCAAATGGGGATTTTTATATAAGTTATAGAACGGCGTCATAACAAGTTATTATAATTTGCTATCCTCGAAGTAACAAATGCATGGACCACATTCTCAACATAACAATTTTCATTCAAATTTTTACAGCCACTAAAAGCAGGCAGTAGACATTTCATTAATATCCACATTTTGGACATTCCTGGACTTCAAACTTCCTCACAGTAGTACGTGAGGCCAAGGTTGTGCGATACATAGAAAGTTATTAGTGTTGAATAATATAATATTTGAATGATATATGTAGTCTGTACAACACAAACAAAAAAGGTAAATTACATGCTTTTCTAGACTATTATGCTACACGGATATAGTCACTCTGTTAGACCATTACCTTCAAGTTTTTTGTAGTAGACACATGACCTGGTGGAAACTTTTCCTCTGCACATATGAACCTGAAAAACAAAAAAATTGATTCCACAATAAGACAAAAATCACTAACTATCTACCCATAACCCGTTACTTATCATTTTTTTTCCACCAGCTAGCTCATTGGCTCATTTTTAATAGTACACATACAGACATTAGAAAGGATAGCGTCACATATGTCTTTTATGCTTTATTCCACACACAGTTAGGTATTGCAAGTTATATGTAGACTGGCACACCCAGGCACCATAAATCACTGGAGAAGAGGAGACCCGTCTCTGACCTTTGGGACTGAGAGGGCCTGCGGGGCGAGGCCTTGGAAGGTGAATCTTCATGTGACTGTTACGTGAAAAACACGGTTGAGACACTCTTGTTGCAGATGAAATAACTATTTTTTGACATGCTGGTGAGGTCTTGTAAGATGCCCAAACCACCTCAACTGGCTCGTTTGAATGTGGAGGAGTAGCCTACTTTAAACTCTGAGAAAATTTACCCTGGATAGGTTTCCCTGTTTGACACTGAACAAGTATAACAAGTTGGTAGAGGCACTATTGGCACGCAGTAGAAAGACAACTACTAGCAAATGGCCTGAGCCCACCAAAATTAGAAAATTGTCATGATGTAATGTTGTAAATATTTAAAATGTAGAAGCAGTAGACACCTATTGCAGCATAACTAAGGGAGGATTCAGGGTCACTTGATCCAGCCCTCACTATACGCTTTAGAAAAGAGGAAGGTTTTAAGCATGATCATAGTCTCCGTCTCCTGAATCCAAACTGGAAGCTGGTTCCACAGAAGAGGGGCCTGAAAACTGAAGGCTCTGCCTCCCATTCTACTTTTAAATACTGTAGGAACAACAAGTAGGCCTGCAGAGCGAAGTGCTCTAATAGGGTGATATGGTACTACAAGGTCATTAAGATAAGATGGGGCCTGATTATTTAAGACCTTGTATGTGAGGAGCAGGATTTGGAATTCATGTAAAGGGGCTGGTGTGGTGGCCGTTGGTTTCATTGAGCTGCTTCCACAAAAATGAGGAATTCATCTTGCTCTCAGATATAATAAAGCTCCACCGTCTTGAACTAGAGCGGGCGATAGTAGTGCTTGTGTTCCTGAGATCTAATGCACACTGAAGGCACCACACCAACCAGAACCTGCAGCAGGTGGAGAACTGATTTTATAATGCTACTGTTGGCGGCTGACCAGAACAAGGATGAAGTTACTGTTTCGAGTGGAAGTCCAATAGAATACAGTTGGCACAACTGATTTTTGTTCTTTGTGAATGTAGTCAAACTTTAAGTAGATTTTCCTCCTTTTTTTCCAGCAGTGAGCTTGAAGAAATTCACTGTTTTGTGTTTAAAACAATTCATTAGACATAGCAGTTAAAACATCCCATTATATTTATATCTCTAATATTGCCTTTATAACTTACTTTGACGTGGTTGCTCTTCTGACACATGACGTCCTGGTTAATACACAACTGCTCTCTTGAGCCCATCACACACACCTTTGGGCTGAATCGAAAGAGACATGGGAGAACTGGTTTACCACAAATAGCCAAAAAAACCAGAACAGACAAAAGGTGCTGCACTCAGTAAGACTTCAAAATGATTATAGCTTATGTAATAACCCTTTAAAGCACCAGTAGTATTTGGTTAATTGGGACTTGTGTGTTGCTTTTTGAGATCTTTTAGCCTGTTAAACTTTGTCAGATACATTCTGTTATTAGGTTTCAGTTATCAGGCCTGAGTGTTTTTTTGTGAAACTGAACTCATTACACAACAAAACAAAATAAAAACGGTAGCTATTGTACCATTCCAGGATCAAATTCAGCTATACTAAAATGTATACTGTAAACCTGGTAATTAAAATTTGTATCTCCCTAGTATATACTAACAGTAGGGGTTTGGTGTCCTCATTACACCATGATCACAAAACCTATTAGAAATGTTGTTTTATATTGTGAATAGCTGTCATTCAGACAATCATGCATGATCAAAAAGTTAGAAATGCTTACCTGTATGAAGTGTTCTTTAACTCATTAATAACCTGTGTAAGCTGAGAATGTGTCCTCGTTGCATATATGATCTTGGGGACATCAGTGTAGTAGGCTTGACAACAATAAGAAAAGACAATTAGGGCTTTATACGTTGCTGAAAAAAATTAACTGAACACTTTTTAACATAGTATACCATCAAGTCAAACTTCTGGGATATTGGGCCTCATTTACTAACAGTGTATATGCGCAAATCTGTCTTTGAAGAAATTTGAGAATTTATGCAATGATCCAAAAGAACACAGACAATACAGTTTGAACAGATTAAACAGCTGAGCAATAAATATGCAAAAGTTGCAACATGATGTATATTCTAAACTTCTATATCAGCCTTCTGTCCAGATTGACATTTCTACAACAGCTGTTTTCCCAAAGCGAGAGACTGAGCACCTGCCACAGCTATTAGCTGTGCTACCACCTCATGGAGCCCCTGAACACCAAGCTGAGCAGCCTCCTACATCTCAACCATTCTTTGTACGATTTGAATGCATAGCTGAAACATGGGGATGACAACCCATCTTGACAGGGAATGGAAGAAGGACATCCTACCAAATATTGACTTACAACCTTGTTAGAGTAGTACAAATGCTGTCTTGAAATATGTAGAATATTTCCATGTATGTTTGGAAACATTACATGTTTGAGTGAATCGTTAAATCCTATTTTCCTAACAAAATATAAAGTGGTTTGAGTGCTCAAAAAGAGTAGAAAAGCACTATAGAAGAAGCAGTCAATTTACCATTTATCAAAATATAAAGAAATCAGTGCTAGCTCATTTTCTATTGCATAGCGATGTAAGCACACAGCATGTCTTCGTAGCTTATATCCTTTGCGTTTTGTATATGTATCTGTTATTCTTCTTTGACAAGTAAAATTACAAATGACTCTTGATTTGCAGATGATACAAACATACATGGTTTGTCACCGTCAGCTGTCCCCCAGGAAGACATAGGTGTGTTTGGAAACATCTCCTGGCCCAGCCTCTCTGCCATCATACAGGTAGACATGGTGTCCTTGAAGTTCTCCCTCCAGGCCAGGGTGGCACACAGCAGGCACAAAGTCTTACCTGTGCCTGTTGGGCTCTCCAGAACCCCATTGACTTTCTGAAATAACCAGACAGGTAAAGATATACATCAAATAAAATAAAATAAAAAACAAACGGAGAAAACCCAAAAACACAAATTGTGATGGTAACAACATTAAAATATTAGAGACTTCCAGGTATTAGACTACGCTTTTATGAGCAAAGATTTGGCATTGTGGAAAAAGATCTCCCTTTTAGCAGAAAGAAATATCTAGCAGATCAGGTTCATAAAAGGGCAGATATCTGCACAGATCAGTTAAAAGGTAAGGTGAAAAATAAATAAATAAATAAAACAGCACAGCGTGTGTCAAGATCCATTAGGTGACAATTGTGTACAAGTTTGATCAAACTCTGACCAGCACTGTAGAAGTAGAAATTCTTGTGACTTGTGGCTGATATGTGGATATACACCTTGCAATTGCATAAACTGATCAGACCTTTGGCCAGATGTGTAGTGTGGTGAGAAGTAGAAAAAAACTATCAGAGAGAGTACACAACCACATGTTTAGTGCAAAACTGTCTCGGGAGCCTAACATAAGGATGGTTCAGGTTCAGTAAGCTTTCACTGCCAGAGCAAATATTTTATGATTGAAAAACATTGTAATCATTCATACACATGAAAAGGCAGATTTTTAAATCAGTTCTTGATTAAACATCGGGGGTATTTGAGCTGTTTGTCAGCTGTCAAGAGCCAGGGTAAACCCAAGACAAGTCAGCAGAGTGCTATTTATTGTATTACATAGAAACTGTAAAGAAATTCTAAGGACAGGTCAATGACATGAAGCCTCTTTTGTCATATGTTTTTTTCCCCATTATTATCATTATATTATGTGAAGCTACATTTTGGACAAGCAGACGTCAGACGGCTTGTCTTTCGGCAAATGGTAAGCATGGTGGCTTCATGGGGCTTTGGAGCGTGATGTCACGGGAGGGGGTGTGACTGCCGAAGTGCCATTTTAGCAGGCCAAACAAAGGGCTGAAGGAGCGAAAGCATCAGCAATGGCTCGCACTTAATGTGTTGTTGGTTGTTAAATCGCACGATCGGGAAGGGAATAAGCTGGAAAATCGGCTCTATTTTTATTCTTTCCCCACCTGGAAGCATCATGAGGGAGCTCGTGTATCAGATGTTACCAAAAGAAGTCATCTAGCCTGGATAGCAGCTGTGAGACGAGCTGATACTTGCAAGAAATGTGTCAACTCCAAAGCCCAGCAGCCATGACTACTCGGTATTGCCCCCATTTCCATCAACAGACATACACATGACAGTCGATTCTTACCTCCTGAAGACATTCGATTACTTTGTTCATGTATGCCTTCTGAGATTCATACGGAGAAAAGGGGAAATTCACTGTCACTCCCCTAAGAGTCAGCGAAGGCATCCTGTCCTCTGACGATTTGTAGAAAGCAGTTCCCAATCGCGCCCAGTTTTGTCAACGCCTACGTAAGGACGATCGCTATTGGCTGTCCAAGAAGTCGCGAGATAACTAATCCCATAATTTACTTAATTGGTCCTGCCTGAGCATTTGTAACAGACACTGTAGGAAAGAGAAATAACATTATGGAAGACACATAAAGTGAGTTAAAAAAACAACCTAAAAGCGTTTAGAATACATTTTGCAGCGGAAGTATGGCGTCCCGCTTGCCCTTCACAATAAGAGCATTATAGCGGATTATAATGGGGGACGCTTTTATTTTGTATAACTACCGGAAGTAGTTCCTGTGTACTGACGCTAGCTGGGTAGCTAGCGCCGCGTCGCTTAAAAAGCAGCCGGGCTTGTCTTAAACTTAAGAGGCTGACACTCGCTAAACCACCCGATCGCTCGCCAAGCGACTGTTTCACACTGGACTTATTTTTCGTTAATATGGGCCGATAATTCCTTTATTCTAGTGGTATGCCGGGAGTGGTGCGGCCTATTCGGATTAACGTAATGATGACACTATCAACGGCGCGCGTCAGTCCGCCCCTCCTCCAGTTTGAATTTGACCTTAGAAGACACCGTAGCGTATGCTGGACCCGCATGCATCTGTCCACCTCTCCTACGTTTTGAAATTGAGATTTGAACATCATTTTCTGAAGTATTCGGAACAACAGTGTAAGGTTTGACAAGGTAAGTGTATCTCTCTCTCTCCGGTTTAAAATTTAGCTTTGAAAGTGATTTTTTAATGTGTCTGGGTGATTCTTTGTCGTGGTCATGTTCGGCAGATGCTAACGCTAGTTAGCGGGTATTCAGCCGAGGTCTACAAAATGATGGTGTGGTTAGCACTTGGACGTCACTTTATTCCAGAGGTATCGTTTGTAATTAAAACTTGTAAGAAGCGAAGTGATTTTTTTTTCTTTGTATGTGTATCTTGGCGATCGCGATTATTTTCATGTGACTGGGTGATTCTTTGTCTGTCGTGGTCATGTTCGGCACCTAAAGCTATTTAGTGGATATTAAGCGTCTCCCGGTTTGAAAGTGATTTATTTATGCGTATGTCTCTCTGCCTGGATTGGAATTTATGCGTGTTTGGGTGATTTCTTTGTCTCGTGGTGAAGCTGGATGCTAAAGCTAGTTAGCGGGTATTCAGCCGCGGTCTACAAAATGATGGTATCTACAAATGAGGTATCTACAAAATGATGGTGTGGTTAGCACTTGGACGTCACTTTATTCCAGAGGTATCGTTTGTAATTAAAACTTGTAAGAAGCGAAGTGATTTTTTCTTTGTATGTGTATCTTGGCGATCGCGATTTTTTTCATGTGACTGGGTGATTCTTTGTCTGTCGTGGTCATGTTCGGCACCTAAAGCTATTTAGTGGATATTAAGCGTCTCCCGGTTTGAAAGTGATTTATTTATGCGTATGTCTCTCTGCCTGGATTGGAATTTATGCGTGTTTGGGTGATTTCTTTGTCTCGTGGTGAAGCTGGATGCTAAAGCTAGTTAGCGGGTATTCAGCCGCGGTCTACAAAATGATGGTATCTACAAATGAGGTATTTTAATGAATATTTTAATGCAAGTTTCCTGTTTTATTGTGAAGGTCCGCGTCGTATGTGAGTGTGATCAGTTTACGTTTCCCCTGTCCCGTCAGCCCAGATTCCTCCCAGCTGTGTTGCCCTCCTGTCTCTCAACCCCTGATTACTGGTGTGTGTATTTAAGCCCTGTGTGTTCTCCTGCCTGTTGCCGGTTCGTCTGTGTTCCTCCGTGTCAGTCTGTGTAACTCTGTGTCAGTCTGTTACCCTGTGTTCCACGGAGTCCTGTTCCTCGTCTGCGTCTCTCTGCTATTCATCATCCGTTGTCATATGCTCCCAGGTCTGTTATTTTAGTTCTCCCAGTTTAGGTGTCTTTAGTTGTTTGTTATGCCCCACTGTTTGTTTGCTTCTACACCTCTGTAAATAAAACCACCGGTATCTCATCCACTGCCTGCATCTTGGGTCCTCCTTCTAAATCCACACGGCTCGCCTCGGCAGCCGTGACAGGTTGAACATGTAAAACTTGCATGTGCCATTCTCCTCATTTTTAAACTTTAAAACTTGTTTTAAAACTTTTTTTTCTTTAAGTTTTTTTGGGGGGGTGGGATGGAAGCAAAGTTTGTGTGTGGATGTATTGTTGTTGTTCTTTGTTTGTTTTCTCATACTATCAAAATAAACTAAATTGGTATGCAGTTTTTCTCTCTCACTTTCTGCCTCTCACTCTTTGTATTTACAGTGCAAACAAGATGGAGAGAAACATTGTCTACTGCCTGCTTTGTAAAAAGCCCCAACAGTCCATTCACACACACCTGAGCAGAGTGTGCCTGAAAGACTGCACACCACAGGAATGTGAGGAAGAAGCTTCCAGAGCCATTGCTTCACAGAAGCTGTTTTCTAATGAAGGTAGAGTCTGGAACTTCTCAGAGCTCCAGGAGTACTGCAAGGATGAAGAATCTTGCATTAAACTCTGCACTCGCCTTCAAACACGTGGATTTATCATCACGAACAGTCCCCAAGCGTTTTCGACAGTTGTGCCAACAGCGAGGTATGATGACCTTATTGCCACTTCCACATATTGGATGACACATACACACTTTCAATGATGTCTTACCTCTGTCACATTTGCAATAGGTCTGATAAGAAGGAAATTCTTGCCGTGGCCAAGAAGGACATTGAATATTTCCACGCAAGACTTTCAGGTGGCGATTGCATCCCCACATTTGCAATGACTACCTTCAGACAGTACTGCGAGGCCATCCTGATTTTACAACATGGAATGACAGCAAATGCTGTTCAAGAACTTTGTGTAAGTGCGCCGCCAACAATAAAAGTGCACGATAAGTGAAATGACAGCTGATGTAAGTCTGTATTTCTTTAAGCTCCAACACCTTTTTTTTACATACACAGGTAGAGGACTGGATGGCGCGGAAAGCAGTAGCTGATGGTGTTGAGCTGAGTGGTAACTTGAGGATAACCAGCCAGGAAGAACAAGTAAGTCATTCATTCTCAGCAGCGACTCTCTTCTTACTCTATAGGTACCTTGTGAATTGATTTTATGAGATATTTAACATTGATTCCTTTTTTTCTCTGGAGTTGTTGGACTGCTATTTCATCCGTGCAGTGTCCTTGCAAAATCAAATAGCTGGCAGCGATGACAGGGGCAAGTTCTTCCTAGGAGAATGTGGGGTCCCACTGTCCAACCCATCATTAGATGTAAAATGCCTGAGAGCGAGGTGAGTGCTTGACATAACTGGATCAACAGCATATTAAGAAAGATTTGTTTCTTTGATCTGACAGAGAAACCCTAACCCTGGACTCATAACAGTCAGCCACATATGTTGCTGTATGTCAGAGATGTTTGCCCCTTGTATTTTAGCTTTTTCATCTCTCCTGGCTCTCTAATTCATTTGCATGCATTAAAAACCACAGATGCCTGAGCACTGAACCTGAGGATGCCATGGCTGAGTCAGCATAAAGCTCAGTAGGTGGACTACAGACACCAGGACAGACCAGGTACACTTTTTTTTAAAAATATCACACACTACCACAAGTCAACCTGTGTTACAAGTTTCCACATTTAAAAACTTTTGATGGATTTGATGCATCCCCTCCTCTACACCTTTCATGTAGCACATCATCTATGCACCTGCCACACCAAGAATGGGATGCCTTCCTCCAGGCCTTTCCGGTCACCCTGAATGGAGAGCCACCATCCAAACGCCAGTGTGTACAGGCTGGCTTTCCACAGCACAGATGCCACTACAAGAAATGGAGGGATATTCAGCTGAAGAAAAGAGTTGGGTACATTCTCGGTAAGGCCTGGGCATGTCATGTTAATGGAGCCTCTTCTGTTGCATTGATTTGTTTGTTTTGTGTGCATTTCAGAATGAAAATACTTTAATAATCTCTAAGAAAATTATGTGGGTTACACTTGTGTAGAGACAACAAGTAACAGACTGAACTAATTAAATAATACAATAGATTTAAGTACAACCCACTCAATGTTATACACCAAAATATACACAGATAGCTCAATTATAAATATAAGGAATTTTTCAAGGTACAAATATGTGAAACGTATTTGCATACTAAAATGCATATGGTTGATTTTTCTTTTTTAAGCTGCACTAATCACTTGCACTATTTCTTGTACCTTGCTTTGTGACCACTTTGTTTAGGTCAGTCAGTTGCCAGAGGAGGTAACCCACCTAAGCCTGCACGAGTACAGATAGCTTTGGACAAGGAGAAATGGCACACCAACAAGCCCACTGTCAATGCCATCTTGCAGGCCTGGATTGCTCCGCAACCCAGTATACAAGACAACGAGTCCCTCACGTCTTCGACTGCAGAGCAGAAGTGGAAGAGCCTGGCTTTGCAAGACTTTGGGGAATGGAAGGGCAAAGGTCAAATGCACACATCATTTAGACAAATTGCAAGTGAACGTTTCTAAGAGCCCTGTCATGACCGACGGTCTATTTCAACTTACAGGTGTGATCGCACTTATGCCTTTCTGCAAAGGGATGTCGTGTGCAATTACCACGGGACATACATCAGTAAGGCAGAAGGGAAACGGAGGCTCCAGTTGGGTATCCGTTCTTCTTCAGGGCAAGTGTGACCGAGGTATGTGCATAGATACCACCGCATTCCCCTGTGCCTGTCTTCCCGAAATTGAAACCTATGGAATGCGAATGAACCATTCCCGGAAAAATCCCAACATCAAGCCCCAGAAGTTTACAATGAACTTCCCTACAGGACCTTAGGAGACAATACTTTTCATTGCCCTGAAGGACATCACAGTTGGTGAGGAGCTGTTATGGGACAACGGAGTAACTCACAAATCTTATGGTGTTGAAGGGGAAGACTTGAAGTGGCTGGACAGCTGACTTTGATTTTATCTGTTCTTTTCCTCTTCTCTTTGCATGGGCTTTTTTATGCAGTGATTTTATTCTTAAAAAAGCAGCTGTTTTTACATGGTCTT